AAAAAAAAAAAAAAAAAATCAAAGACAGCATCGTAGAAATACATACGTTAGCTCTAAAATATCAAACTTTCCGATATCTACGCGTCATTTTCTCCCCTGCCCATTACACTCTCCACCCTTCGTCTCCACCCTCTCTCTCTCTCTCTCTGCGACTCATCCACCGTACCCAAAGAACCACCACTCTCACCCCCATTCTCCCTATCACCCGAATAAACTTTCCTAACCAACCACCTCCTAAAAATTGGCACCAAAACCGACCCCAGAGCAATCTGCAACCCCTGAAAAACAACCATAGGCAACTGTATCTTGGCCTTCTGCGAAACATCCAGACCCTTAAAAATCAAATTCGCCAATGGAACACCCATAGCGGGCGTCTTGGCCGGTACGCAGTATGCGACTGCTACCGTGTCTTCTCTCGAGAGCCAGAGGACAGACACCGAGACTGAGACGGTTAGCCAGATAATGAACATGGCGATGGAGATGAAGACAATGAAGATGATGTTCGAGGCCTTTACGGAGGTGAAGACGTTTGAGCTGAAGGCTGCATCATAGGCTTGCCATACCACCAGGAGGAGGCAGATCGAACTTAGTTTGTTGAGTTTCCAGGTGGTGAAGATTTTGCGGAGGGGTTTGGGGAAGAGATGTTGCAGGATTTGGCCGATGAACTGGAGTTTTTTTGTTTGTTAATATTCATTTCCTATATTTTTCTTTCTTCCTTTCTTTCTTTCTTTCTTCCTTCCTTTCTTTCTTTCTTTTTCTTATTTTTTTTTTGTTTAGGGTGTGGGGGTTTGTTATACGGTGGAATTCTACTTACCATAGGTACAAAGACAGATAATCCAATCTGTTTAAAGATACGTGCATAGATCGCCGCATAATTCCCCTGCTCCGAAGAAAGAAAACCGGTATACCATGGCTTGGGCAGACAATACATCTGAATGAGCAAGGGGGTTAAAAAGGGCCCCAAGAAATTGCCGATAGTGGATTCCACCACGGTCAGGGCATCGTTACCATGGGCATTCCGCGTCATGACCACGTTAGAGGAGATGGTAGTCGGGACACAGCCCATGAGAAGAAGACCAATAAGTAGAGCCTCATCCATGAAATCAGGGTTCGTTGCGCACAGCGACACGACGGCATAGACAGACGCCGAGGTGAAGAGGAAACATTGTATCTGTACGAACAAGTGGATTTTCCAGCGACTGTAGTTCTCGATCAAGGCGCGCGTGGACAATGTACATCCCGTGATGAAGAAGATGATTGTGACGCAGAGATATGAGATCACGGTTTCAATGAGTTCTTGGTCTTTGGTCGGGGCTGGTGCTTGGGAGGCTATGAGGATCACAATGCCGATGCCGATGAGGAACCATTGCCCTAGGATGATCTCGGAGATCTTGCGCCAGAGGGGTTCTTCTGCCGGCATGGGAGAAGTGAGAAGTAATTAGATTAGGGTTTATTATGTATATATATATCTTTCTTAATGGCATTGTTTTTATGGATAGGGCCTGGCATGTCTTTCTCCATGTGGATCGCTGGCAGATCGGCAGATTGTTTAGGCGATAGGTAAAGAATCTTCCGAAGGCGTGAGATTTTCCGAAAATGACTTGATTCGTTGGCAGTGCACGGATCTTTGATCGATAAGGGTTGGGGCTCCACTGCTTTGATAAGATTGAAATACTGCTCTCTATAGATCGTCATAGTAAGGGTGGATGCAAATTGTGAACTGCCTTTACTCTTTTTGGTCGTTATTTATAGCGGCAATCAGCTCGAAAGATGAACGCGAATTGATATGCGGAATACATGTCGTAGAGAAATTTCTATCATCCTAGATTGCTCCACAAGGATTCGCGATGGATAGGGATCAGATAACCCATTGAATATTCGTTGTAGACTTCTTATACAATCACCAAATATTGATAAAATAATATGTATAGTACTGTAGTCATTCTTTATTCGTGGCTAGTATTACCTCGTCTAGACATTAAGTGAGAGTTAATCAAGAACACACCCAAAATAATAAGCGAAGCTCGTGGCTCAAGGTCTTCTTCCATGACCGGTTCCCCATGGTGGCAAAGCTCTCATGTATAGAATATTGCCTATCGACGTGGATGTTTTATACCTGAATGTGCATATCCAGCCGAAGGTAAGCCATCACGGACGGCAGATTTGAACTACAGCAATGCTAACGAGGCTGAACGCCGTGGCCGCTTCGGACACTTGGGCTAATATTAAGACAGGCTCTACAGATCATAGAATACATTCCTTCTACTGGAGTCCATCAGTGAATAAAGCCCGTCGTGTGGAATTCTTGTGTTTCTCTTCTTGACAGTCACCATGATCTGGAAAGAATGACTGAGGTTTGTAACTTAAAGTTGCAACATCTGGAGGCAGCCAATCTGGAATTTTGGGTACGACAAGCTCTAGAGCTGGGGGCTCGTGTGAAGGTCAAGACAGAACATCTGACGGCTTCTTCATCGGCTAAATCGTTACCAAAGAGAAAGTTCTCACCAGCACATGACATGATAGATAAGGATCCGAAAAAGGCCCGAGTCCAACCGGCGGAAATACCTAGATTTTACAACGGATGATGGGTTTTATGTTTAATGGCAACGATGTTTTTTCGTGTGACCTGATAAGTTTAAATGCGGAAAACTTACCTACTTTACCAAAGGTAGAATACTTTTCAGTAAAAGGAACTCGGAGGACGGGTTCTATGTATGCAGATCTATGAGAGATTTAAATGGGTCCACTATTTATGGTGAGTGACTAGTGCTACGGAGTTCTAAAACCTTTGAAAACAATGAATATATTCCGGGCCGGTTGTTACCTGATAACTGGATTAAATTCTCTATACAACTAAAACACTAACCGAAGCCTGGTAAGGACGTACATATGTACAACAGCGTCCTTCAACTCGCATCTATACTACCTACATTAAGACAGCTCCAGACGCAGTGCATCGTACTGGACATACACCGTTCCGGGGAGAACAGCCGTCTCATAGTCTGTGGCATTATGTGGCAGATGCAAGGTGAGCACATTGTTCCCCACGTTCAGCCAGTCGGCGGGAAATTCCATGCGCGAGCGAACCTGGTAGCAGCTGACAGCTGAGCGGACAATGCAGCTACTGGACTGATTGAAACCGACCAACAAAGTCAGCGGCTCCTTCTGCTCGTTGATGTAGCTCTCCAACGCAAGATTGGCGTAGGGTTCAGTCGCGTTGTACACGTCCGTATTGCCAGCCGCGGTCTTCGCACCGGCCAGTTGGATAGTCAGCGTGGCTGTCTTGCGTTGCTGCAGCTGCTTCTTATCCAAGGAGAAATTGATCGTCCAGTCGTGTGTGGTGTCATATTCGACGTCTGGATTTTCAGGGGTTGGGCCGTACACCGACCAGTGCACGGTGTTGAAATCGACGGCAGGGTCGCTGCTGCCGATGGTATAGTTGACACCATTGGGGAAGTCCTGCTGCCAGTCATACGCTCCCCAGTAGATAAGGTGCTGGGGAGGGTGCAAGGGGTGTGTTGGGTCTGGCGCGTCTCCGTGGAGGAATTCGCCCGAGGACTTATCGGGCGTTCCTAGTCGCCAGACCTCAACACCTGCAGACTCCTGTTCCCAAGTCTCCTGCACCTTGGTTGCCTTTCCGGCTTCCACCTCAACGCCATCATGTACGAAGTCGCCGAAGATACCGTCTGCAAAGACAGTCAAGCGGTATTTACCCTCCTTGACGTGGTCTAATTGGAAGGTTCCGTCTTGGCCCATCTCGGCCCAGTATTGATGCGACGAAGCCTCCACCGAGTTGTCTTGGAAGTATTGTCCATTTACTGTCAGAATCGCGATGGGTCGCTTTGAACCCTTGGGAAGCTTAACCTGGCCTTGTACACTACCGCGCTTGCTGGAGGGAGCATACCCGATCACATGCTTGGCGATTGAGTCGTAGAAGTCAGCGTTCCATCCTGGGTCGGCTAGGGTCTCAGCCTCCGATCGCAAATCTTCCAGAGACGACGCAGAGCCCTTTCCACCGTTGAAGAGATAGTACTGGGGGCCAAAGGTGCGGTCAAAGCCATTAGTAATGTTTGGTGTTCCTTCTCCATGGTGGTTCGACACGAGATAGTTGTAAACGATTCCGTCGACTGTCAGGTCAGAGTGCAGGGGTCCCTAAACCGGTCAGCGGCGCGTTACAAATTAGCATTGATTTGCTAACGTACACCGTAGTATGTGTCCTTGGTGTTCATGACGAGCCATGCTCCGTATGTAGTGCCGTTCGAGTTGGTTCCATCGGCATATAAACCGTGAACACTGTTGTCTCGCCACACTATTACAAAGTTAGCTGATGCAGCCTATCGGTACGTCTCAAAGAGGTCCATACAGTTAGAGAAAGTATATTTGGTGAAATACTCGGAGAATTGAGTGTAGTATGCATCATGCGGGGTATTGTTGAAGCGCCACGTCGCATCCTGCACGACAATCTCTTTATCGATCGCTTCCTGGCTGGGGAGGGGAGCCGTCTGAGCCTCGCTGGATGTCAAGTGTGTCCATAACTCCGTATTTGGGCGGAAGAGGGTTCGGAATTCTTGCAAGTTGCGCAAAAACGGTGTCGTCTCGTTGTAGTACGCCAAGCGGCTAAACGTATGCAGACCCGTTTCGCCATCTCGGAGGAACCAATATTGCTGGAACTGCTGTCCTGTTGGTGTGTACGTGTCGTTTAAGATTACACCAGCATATTTTGTCCCAGTCGAATCGATTCCTTGGACGACCTCCATACGGGGTTCGGTGGTGCCAGCAGTGTAGAAGCCGGAGGGTGTACAGTAGCAATCAAGATACGGACCAACACCGGTACTGCCCGATATGGGTCCAAGGAGATCCTGGCCATCGAGGAAGAGCTCCGAGACGTGACCTTTATCTTTGGCGAAAGTGGATGTTAATCGGTCATTAGTCAAGGTGATTGTACTGTTGTCCTCCGTGACCTTCAGCGCTGCGGAGGCAACGGAGGCGCAGGCAGAGGCCACACCAAGGGAAGCGCGAAGACGCATATTGTGATGGTCAACGTCTTGTAGCTGTCAGCCGAACAGATGGCGCCAGACAACGGTTCCTCTATCCAGGAAGGGGCATTTCCGGCATTTATAGCTAGCGCCAAACTTCACCAGTTCCATCACCGGCGGTTATTATCCCGAGACGAGCTAGTTTGTATGAAGAAGGCATGGTGCCACTCCGTCCAGGGGCACGAAGCTTGACCAAACTCACGGCCATGTGGACCTCGCGAGACCGTCTCAATTGCGGAGCCCCGGAAACCACGCGTAAGTAGTCTGGGGCACAAATGCGGGGAATCGAAGGCGCACTAGTTTCCACACATCATTGATGGAAAAACTCCTTCGGATAACATTGACCCGAAGCTAAGAAGCTTGACTAGACAATTTCAGAAAACGGTGTGCTACACGGAGCTTTAATCTCCGCAATCACAGTCTGGCGCGCAAACCAAAGCGCTGTAGTATGATTTAATTCGATCGGACATCTCTCTCAAAATTGATAGAAGACCGACCTTAGTGCGGTGGACGCTTTCGCATAATTAACAAAAGCATATCGACATCACTACCCTGGGTCTCATCGTAAGTCGGTCCTCTTGACTCATAACGGTCGAACCCAGGAAAAAAAATCGTCAACCTCAAATATGGGAAGAGTCAGCTTTCTTCGGCAACCATGGCCAACATATACAATGAGCCACACATGGCTTGTCGTGATTCAGCTATATGGAAGAACATGATGCCGAATCTATTAGCCTCAACTATCAAGTCTTGATATACCGAAGGAATCCGCATATGCCAAGCTCATGCGTTCGCTAATGATGGCCAAAAGTGTGTCATGAGGTAGATATCGGTCGGAGGTGTGACTGGAAGGCAGGCTTAGTATTGAGAGACTGCCTTGTCGATAGGTTGTGGTGGAACACATTCAGGAGCAGATCCACCCTTCAATCGCGATGTTTCAGGGAACGATAGAATCGTTGAAATGGCTCTTCGAAGCCTTGTCGGTAGGATTATCTGTGTCATTAGCAATCTCCAGCCTGTCTGTGGGTCTATAGCGGAACGAACTAATGGAATAAAAACTAGCTCTGGGTCACTTCAAGCAGGGATGAAAGTCTAGCCCCTTTGCTCAGATACCTGATCGCATGAAAGGGATGTCCTGTCTCTTCAAAACTCCCACTAGTCGTGGGCAGTTCTTTCGTTTCATCGGGAGGAGGAAAGCGCAAATAGCTGCTTCAATCACGACAATCCGATGCCACATGTGACCCACAGAGTCGTATTTAATACTACTCTCCCACATGCCACACCGCAGTTCTGTATGATCTCGATCAAAAGGGACATCGAGACCAACATTTGGGCGCCAGCGGAACCAATGGTTCTTGCTTAAACTTGCCAAGCCTGCAGCTCGCTGCAAGTGGTCAATAGTTCTTGACAACGAAGCAAGGCCACAATACGTTGTGCTGGTACATAGATCTGCCTTTCCCGCGAGGAGCAGGTTCCTGAAACCGTTGGTATTTGTGAACCGGTCGTCGCGAAACCCTATCTTGATCATGCCTTGGCAGTGATGCCATTCCACTGCGACCTAATATAATGATTTCTGTCCGCATTTTTCTTCGTGCTTCGAACAATATCGGACTGTCTACCTTCGGAAATGTCGCACATTACTTCCATCTCTGATGCAATGGTGAAAAAAGAGGAGAAAAGTAGTTCGGAAGCATCCATCCCTCTCGAGGGCGTATCTCCAGCGTTTCCTATCCAGCGGGCTGAAAACATGTCCAGCGACGCCGGAGACCCACGTAATTGGCCCGTTTGGAAGAAAAATGTTCAAATCTTAATGGTCGCTTTCCATTCCATGGTGGCGACCTTCATGGCCGCGGGTATTATCCCAGCATTTGATGCTATGGCTGAAGAATACGGCGTGACGGTGCCAGAGGCGAGCTACCTAACATCGATACAAGTGCGTGTTCCTATTTCCACCACATGCACACGACAATTTGAGACCAAGACGCTGATATACGCCACGACAGATCCTGGTATTGGGGCTCACGCCATTCCTTTGGAAACAGATTACCTGCATCTACGGTCGATACCACGTGTCGCTGGTCTCCGTACTAGGTAGTCTGGTCTGCAATATTGGTGGAGCTAGGTGCACCACGTATGGAGCACAGATGGCGACGCGAGTTCTCACTGCCATACTCATCTCACCCCCAATTGGCATTGGAAGCGGTATCATCACGGAGCTCTGTGAGCCTGAAGAAAGAGCACAGAAGCTGGGTTGGTGGACATTGATGACCACGCTTGGAACTCCGGCGGGGCCGTTTATCATGGGTTTCGTCGCAAAGCATATAGGGTTTGAGTGGATTTACTGGATCTATGTTATAATCAACTTCGTGCAGTTTCTCGCTTACCTACTGCTGGGCGAGGAAACGATATATGTCCCCGGGGATGCTACTGGTGGTGGTAAGCGTGGCCCCACGAGCAAGTTCATCCCTCGCCGAATCGATCCACGTCCACTGAAGCCTCGCGAGTTCATAGAGTCGATCTTCTTGTCCCGATATCCGCGAATCCTGATTCCTACGATTGCTCAGTGTGTTGTCTTTTGCTATGCCAATACGGCCATCATCGTTGAGATGCCCATCGCCTTCGGCCAAAAGTTTCATTTCGACGCTCAGCAGATCGGGCTGCAGTATATTGCAGTGATTATCGGGAGTCTAATCGGGGAACAAGTGAGCGGGCCTATGTCAGACTGGTTCATGAAAGCTCTGAGTAAAAGAAGAGGCTACTTCCGACCGGCTAATCGCTTATGGCTTTCGTACATTGGGTTCGCAACAGTCATCGCGGGACTCTTGGTATGGGGGTTTCAACTGGATAATGCCACATCGTGGAACGTTACTCCCTGTGTAGGTGCGGCTATTGCGAGTTTTGGGAATCAGATCCTGACCACCATTCTCATCTCATTCGCGGTGGACTGCTACAAGGACCAATCGACCGATATCGGTGTGTTTGTTAACTTCGTCCGCCACGTCTATGGATTTGTAAGACATATTCAAGGCCTTCACATTCTATCGCCCTTGAATCTAATATGGAATCCTAGATCGGACCGTTCTATTTCCCTCCCATGTTTAAAACGCTGAATCTGGGTGGCGCTGCCGGGGTCATGTGCGCAATCATTGGCGTGTGTGCTTTGGGCCCTATCGTCGCGATGCATGTTGTCGCTAATCGTAGAAGTCAATGATGGAGGAGTAACAACGAACTGTGATGTAAACTTGTTGCACAAACCAGCAATGATTCGCATTAGCAACGTCCCAGACGGGAGATGGAATGTCACAGATGTATCAGGGTGCGTAACACGGAAATAAGCCCGTTTCCATCGTAGAGAAGACGAGTAAAGTGAAGCGCTTCTCGATACAATTCACTGGCTAGCTTGACATAGCATAGAGGATCTTGGCCACTTTTCTAGTGTAAGTTACTGGGCACGCTGTTCAACCATGACATGTCTTGGAAATCCAGCCAATCAAAGCCTTCCATGAAGATAGCATTCATGCCCTCTCCAAGAGACATGTCATCGACTGCATTGGACGCGGTACTTTGTTGCGGATGACCGGCGGAGGGTTCATGAGATGGGGCCCGTTCTGACACTACCCTTTCATAGAGGATTTCTAGAGCCGCTACACATCGACGTGCAGATGTGCTGTAACTCTGGTACTTCCGAAGAATTTCCAAAGCAGAGTTCCAAGATCTTGTAATTCCAGCCTCGGTCACTTCGACCAAAACTGCGGGACAAAGGTAGCCTGCTATTAAGACTGTGGCAGCCGTATATACATCTATGTTTATTAGTCTGCGCCGAGGTCAAACACCTGTTATTCTTCCAACTCACAGAGGATATTGTACCACCAAGCTGGAAGAGGGCCTGCAGACCCGTCCGCAGGGATGTTTTCGTAAATCAGTTGGATTACTTCTTGGGCTATCTTGACGCATATAGCTGAGCACTGCCAGGCAATTCGTTGGGGAAATGAATCGCTGAGTGAAACTAGTGAATCAGGGACCGTGATGTCGCGAGCTGCACAGTACCTGGACAATATGGGACGGAACAGAAGCATACGGACATGCAGAAATCTATAAAATGGGAAAGTAAGCCACCTGTTCTTCACGACACCATATGACTTAGTATTGCAGAAAGTGACGTGGGGCAGCCATACCTCGCTCTAAGAACGACACTCTGGTGGTAAAAGACCACATCCGTAGAGCCCGCCGGTGAATCTCCTCGTAAGTGCGGCGGAAGACTTTGGCTCCATTTGGATAGAGCTCGATCAAGTTCAAAGATCGTTCGCTCGCCCTGGTTAGTTTCTTTGTTGAAATACAAGTCATACATGTCCTCTGGACTCTCTTCTGGAACAGTTTTGTATAGGCTCAATAAAATATCGTTCATGATTTCATACAACTCGAGCGATTTGGCATAGAATGCCATCACGGATGGCTGATCAGCTGGCTGTGTAGCCTCGATGCCTGAAGCTGTCGGAATATACTCCTCATCCACTGTAGCGGGCAAGGGTACCGATTCGCAGGATGCTTTCGATATCATTGCGGGTCGTCCGAATGTCATGGAGATGACTCTACTTGATATTAGACGTAATAGATCTAACGAATGCGGCACAGCATACCTATCCATGAGCACACATCCGTGCCATATTTTGCGAGCCAGCTGCTGCTCCTGTGGGCTCGGGAGTCGGGCAATAGTTTGCGGAAGATGCAACCCTAAGCTTTGGGCATTTCGTATGGCCAAACCAGTAACAATCCAACATTGATGGGCCGAATCAGTGCTTTGCAGGTACTGTGCCATTAAAAGTAGACACTGAATCAGTGCAGCGGACCCTGTATCCCACAGGTTGAACTGGAGAAGATCCTTCGCGCGTGAAAAGAATGCGTCTGCGGATGCCTCTCGTTCCTCAGGGAGGATGAAGTCAGCCAGCTGACAGGCCAAAGCAAATATGACGTTGAATGTACACATGAGCATAGATTCGTCGCTTTCGAGCGGTTCACCCGTCCAGATCTTCCCATATTCGGCCCGCAACCGGATACCATCAACAAGCGGGTAGAGGGGAAAGACGAAAGACCAATAAACTCCCATCAGACTATCTGCCGTCTTTCTCGGCGGCAAGACATAGCTCTGAATGCTGGAAGGTTTCTCCGATCTCGCACTCATGAGACCTGGAGCATGGGATACTCCTAGAATGGTGTCTGATGTTCGCCGGTGGGGTGAGGTGACTCTTCTGTCGACAGCCATCTTAATCTGATGCATAAAGCTAGCAGCACTAGAGCTGCCAAAGAAGCCTTGCGTCGGGCGTTCTTCTTCGACCGCACCCATCATTGCATTCACACCGTCCGCTCGTTGACGCGCCTGGGCCTGCCCGGATATGTAACCAGCAGTTTTTCTGGAAGGGCTTCGACAAGCACTAGCCGATGGGGAGCCGCCGACTACATCGGTATTTGCGGGGATAGAACTTGCTAGCCGATGACGATTCTCCGAGACTGATGATGGGGGGATGAACTGAGTTGGTACAGGAGCGTCAAATGAGGACACCGGGCTATATGACAAGGTGGACTCCTATTAAACTAGTCAGACCACTACAAATGGATACTTACCCGCTTGGGCCCATTTTTGGAGGAGGTTTATGTGGACATTTGCTTACTTGAACATGGTCTGAGCTCTCGTGTTCCACACTCGTTGGTGCCCTTGCCGGTGTACGACGCGGATTTGTTAGAAGCTTGAGGCGACTCTCCAAGGTAGCAATGTAGCTTCATCTCAGAACATGTTAGCCTTCAATGACCCATAACTCAAGAGACGACCGCCGACATGATGAGGGTCGCCTACAAGTATGGTCTTGACTGACTTTTGTACAGCAAGCTTTTGCTTTCCAGTGTATATACATTGCACTCCCGGATCTGCTTTTCTTGTACAGGGTCCACACACTACGGGGAAATCAAGGTCAGAAGTCCGGTATCAATCCCGGAGCGATCCAAGCATTCATGGTATGATAGAACACACCGGGTTGTGCGCCGTCGCACCGGATCTTCCGAACACGGCATTCATCACAAGCCACGGCTATTTTGCGCCGCTTACTCGGACGGCCGGCATCTTTTGCAGCGCCCGGGGCTTTTCCAGAGGTCGAATTATCCATAATGCTGGGCTATTGAACAATTGAACAAGCGAAGCCACCGCTCGTGGATTTCCGGAAATGTAAGTGCGCAATGGAAGCGCACCCGAAGAGCGGACGTGCTTGGCGACCGGCAGGCTCGGGACTGGTTCCGAGAGCGGCCTGAGGCAACTAATTAAATAGGTGACATTCTTCCTCCGCGCACTCATGGTCAGCTACTCGGAACTCATAATGCAGGTTACTCCATCGATTAAGCACTACACGATACAATGTACTGATAGATTTTGCGCAAACAATCGAGACGAGAAAATACATCGCACGAAATAACCAATTCATGATAATGACAGTATTGTTCAATTCTAATTATTAACAGGCGGGCAACTCTAGTATGCATAAGCTGCCACGAGGATAAACTTGCTAGAGTGTACAGAATGAGCGAAGTGAACCATATATCTCAAATCATTTGTGCACAAATCGCGAGAACGGTAGCGATCTTGATGCAGCGGCGAGGACCAAGAAAGCTGCATTATGTCCAATGATACGCAGGATTTCGTAACCAAATGGCGAGTTGATTACAGGCCGTTGCTGAGAAGGCAAGGAGCCTGGAGGTTGAGGTTGAGGAGCCCGTTCTACTCCACATTAGTATTTTGACAATGAAATTACATACACTGAGACACTTACCTGGGTGTTGCTGCTATCGGAGTTCTGCTGGCAGCAACCGATGTTGGTCTGGCATTGCTTGTTGAGGGCGGAAACAAGACCTGAACCCCTGGTTAACCATCGCTAATATATAAAATTGGATAATACAAACTTACCACTGCAAGCCTCAGGGTTGCCTCCAACAAGGTTGTTGAGACCGAGAATGTCACCTAGACCATTACCGAGGAGGCCACTCAGAAGACCGAGATTTGCGGTCGAAGTCTTCGAGGCGTCCACCTTGTCACAGCAGACGGGGTGGTAGCCCTTCTGAGCACTGCATACGGTATTCCAGCTATTCTGCTGGGACTGATTGATCTTGGTCTGAGACTGAGTGATCTCTGGCGCGTTACCGTTACCGGCGGCAGCACCGGGAATAGGAGCGGTCGGAGAGGCCATGACGGCGGCGGCGAAGAAAGCAGCGACAGTGAAGAACTTCATTTTGATGGTTGGGTTGGGCTGGGTTGGATGCTTTGAAGCAAGTGGTTGTAGAGAAGGGTTGAGGAGTGATGTCTGAGTAGCTAATTGTGCTCGTGATGAAGAACAATCTGGGGAGGGATCCAAGGTCCCTTTTATAACTTTTCAGAGCAAGAGTGAGGCATCCGCTCTCTTCTGCTTTCAGGATCTATAGTCATGGAAGTCCCATAGTTGGTGTGGGTTGGCTCCATCTCATTTCCATCGCTCGTAAGCCCTTGCATAACCATCAGGGGTCTGGCTGGAGACTGAGCAGACGATCGATGATACTCGCATTGATTGGTGTTTGGAACCGAATCAGGGGTTGGATGGAGTTCCATAGCCTCAGCCTCCACTCAAATAATTTTAGTTCTGCATATGCAGGAAGCCAATATCCGGATGGGCCCTTAATACATCGCAGGAACTCAGTGGGGGCTTGGAAACCTAGCATTACCCGTGAGGCTGTCGCTCAGGAGTGAAATGTGATATATCAGTTCTGGACGTTTACCGCTGTTGACTTTCCCCAGACACGAACATGCCAAGAGATAAAAAGCCTTCATTTGACGTAAAGTACGAGAAATGTATGTAGGGATACACTCTTGTACCAATAAAATGACAGACTGGTACGGGAGCTATTGGAAGCTTCGTCGTCGACTAGAAACTCTACACTGACGACCCCAATCTGCGGGAAAACCATATCTCTGATTCTAAACACGGTTTTCAATCAACTGCTAGTTTATTTCTAAAACTCTTATTGTGTTTTTGTTATGGTGTCAATAGGGTTTACTAGGGAGAACCTCTTCATTTAATTGGGTAACTCTATGCAGTAATTCCAGCCATGAACTTCCGTCTCTCCATCATAATAATAGCCAATGTTACAGGCCCTAAATATATGCTGAATCCTGTTCCGACTAGATCTAGACTACTGCCTTGCTTGAGCACTGGTCGTTTCGGGGGCCATCTTCGATCTGGCAGACCCATAGCAATCAGGCTTGCCTTGATGTCTCAGTGCCACACTGGTCGGTAGATACTACATCTGATCGAGCAGCTATTATCGGGTACGACGCCTGTTTCAAGGTTGAGGGCATTGTATTTTCTCATACATGTGTTAATTTGGGATTATCAACCCTAATCAATGTCCGGTGTAGGTTTTAAGTTATTAGATGTCGTCTAAAGTGCACTTCGTTATACAGTTGTTCCTTGTTTCAGAGCAGAATAGATTCCAGCAGAGCTAGGTGGTAGTTGGAGATGCGAACATGGAGAATTGATGTTGACAAGGTCCAATTAGTAGGTATCAAACAGACTTGGCTCAACGTTAGAAGGGTATTGCTCAGTTCCTTTTGAGTATTCCTAGTAGGCTTAGAACTATGCTTCATTTTTTCTTGGCCATAGTATATATATCTACTCATGTAATAATCAAGCACATACGACCACAGGGTGTGGAGAACAGGGCTTCCCGTCCGCTCAGCCGTACTTAAGCCACACGCCGGGAGGTTAGTAGTTGGGTGGGTGACCACCAGCGAATCCCTCCTGTTGTATGTTTTTTATATTTTTTGTAGATTCGTTGAATGGAGGTGGTCTTCCACTCGTTCCTGGTGTTAAAGGGCATATTCGTGGTGGTTCGTGGTAAAGGCCTCGATGTCTGAAAAGCTGAGAACGTGTTCCAAAGGTGTATCATCGGTTAAAGAAGATATATAATATTACTATACCATGGAAATACAGTTCAACAGACTGCAGATATATATATTTTGATTGTTATACTGTTCCTACAGTGCGACCTCTTCATATCTTTAACAAATTTGGACGGGCTTAGGTTTATTCGTCTATATATCAAGGCCTGATTTAAATACAGTTACTTCTCCATATTACACATCCACCTCTCTGATAATAGCAGCTAATGTAAACTTACACGGAATATGTCGAGATAGAATGATAGGCTGGTGGACATCACGCCTACCTGACTATATAAGTATGAGCCCATATATACAATCTCTAAACGCACGTCAAGTGCTCACCCAATGAATCACTCATGTTTATCTCTGATATAGACACTTGATTATGGACATACCATGGCTCCATTCATTCCAATGTAATACTGCATAGTATAACTGATCACTTTGTTTCCATCTTCGATTTCTTTGTAGGCTCTGGCTGGCCGTCACACTGAAATATGATCCGCAAGTAACCTTCCTACTAGGGCGTTATGACAACAGCTTAAAGTCCCAGCTACATCTTATCTAGCATAATCTATACACGTTGTAAAAATAAGTGAAGCTGCCCTATGTATCTGACCAGTAGAGGTCATCCCGTATAGGAAACAATGAAGGCATGATTAGCCGGAAGAGCTGCAGTCCCCACCCCAGGTCTCTGAGGACAATGCACACCTTGACACCGCTTGTGATTCTAGATCCGTATACTAACGAAATTGAAGACGCTGCTATTTGGAATGATTGTGGTGGTCTGAGCTGCTTTGGACATAAGGGGGGAGGAGCCCAAAGTGTAATAGGAAGTTCGCACCTGGTACTCAAAGTGACATATGACATGTCTTACAATAGTAGATGTAACCCCTATACAATGCATAGCTATGTAGACCTGTTGAAGAAGGGAAGGTATAGTAATATGTCGACACACTATTGTAGCTCACTACGTAGATACAAACGACACGAGGGCACGGTTGACTAAAGCCTGGCAGCAAGGGCCACTGCTACTCTTCCACGAACATTATCCTCTAGTAAGGGATTGGCTGATGCGTACGAGTAATGAGGACTGCTATAAATTGTTCAAAAATAAACATCAGGTGACCCAGCCACGGCCCTAAACCACCAGAAAGTATATCAGAAACCTCAATCCCCAAACAGCAACCCTCGGACCTAGCCCCCAAGAGCCAAAACGCCATAAATCCGGATAGTCTCTGCATTGTGGGCCTAGAGTCTCCACACGGTGATCCCGCCGAAAGTTTACAGATACGGTCGGTCGTCTGGGCCCCGCCTAATTTCCTGCAACTTTGGTTACGACTCAACTGCAATGGGGGCTATTGATCACTTGGGTTGTTTTGGGTGAGGGAAATACCTTTCAGGATCGTACATGTGCTGTGTCATATCCAGGGGGTTGGCTTGACCCAACGTTCTGTGGTACAGCGATATTATAGGCTTGGGCAATACAGGATAAAATTAACCTCGCGCTTTGGGTTAACACGGAGTCTATTATGAATTACCAGATCTGGGGTTGTGGAGAAAAAGGTTGGGGGAAGTGAGGGATCTAGTCGAACACCCCTTGCATATCGGCTATCGAGCGGTGGTTCCTGCGTTCGAGTGGGCTGCGTTGAAATCCTGATCGCCGAAGACATACGGAGGAGTGATGTACATTGGGTTGTTTTTATTTATTTACTGTATTTGAATTATTTTATTTTATTTTATTTTATTTTTTCTTATTTGAGAAATTTCTCCCAACGATGACTGGAAATCGACTTGCGCTACAATTCTATCGTGTATTGATATCTAGGCTGCAATACCTCAACCACAACGCCGGTAAAAGAACAAAAAGAACAATAAAATATGTATGACATACGCCAAATTGGCCCGAGATGCGTTTCAAAACAGATAGTACGTCACCAGCTGAAAGACTCCTCAATGTACCGGACCCCTTGATAACCTTGTCGCATGGTTCGGTACACCGCAGTTCTAACTTCATCAGCCATCGCAGGTGGACCGCACATCAACACAGCAGCCGAGCAATCACTGAGCTGCGCTTCATGAGCGTGGCCCAAAACAAGGACCTGCAGATCGGGTCGCCCATGACCAACCTCGATAGCCTTCCCCGAGAGCTCTTCGCGTAGCGTTGAGCATTCGCCCGAGTCCTCCACCGCAGTGGCTGAGGTCACGTAAAACGACGCCCGGAAATCTTCTCGAGCAAGGGCTGAACTCAGCTCTCGAGCGGCAACTTGTTGTATGAACGCCTCCTGGCGACTCGTCCAGACCAGGTGAATATTTTGGACGCGCGTCGGATTCTCCGCTTCATCTGTGCTGCTGCTACACCTGGCGAGATGGTCTTGGATGTACGGTACCGCTGCGGCGATTCCTGTTCCGCCTGCGATCAATAGGATCGATTCGTATTTCCATAAGGGGAACTGTTCGCCATAGGGACCTTCTAAAAGGATCGTCGTATCCAAAGTCCGACCGTGAGATTGTACGCATTGTTGTCGGAGATGGCGCGTCCAGCCGTCAAAGGGTCTGATCCAGAAGACCAGTTGCAACCTCTGGGGCTCATCCACTGAAGGTACATCTTCTGGGGGAGTTCGTGAACCGGAGGAGCTATCAGAGAGTAGGGGGACCTGTGTCACATCTACGGTGTTGTCGTCCTTCGCAAGTGAAGATAGTTGTGTTTCGGACGTAGGCAGCCCTGTCTCGTACGACCATGACCCTAGAGTAAACGGATGGTTTTCCCAGCCCGTAAGCCGGAATGGTTGGTACAGGTAATAGTATTGCCCGGGCGTGGGCTGGAGTCGACTGGACCCGGGGATAACCTCTAGTCGAATGACATCGGAGGCCTCGTCATAGATGGCGGAGCTGCGCGTGTACTGAATGCTTTTTCCAACATTGGTGCGAACGTGGAGATTATAGTAGACTAGTCGGATTACGCGTAGCAGTCTGTCCGCTGCCCAGAAGCCGACAGCAGGCCATAACCATATCCAATACTCATGGTCTTCAAAAATGATAGTATGACTGCCACAGACAATTGTCAGAAAGAGCCATGGGAGCGAGTAGAATGACAGACATACTAGAAGCAACCGACCAACGTTGCGACTGAGAAAAGAATGTGTAGAACGAGGAACGTTTCGTATGTCCTTCGGCGGAACCATTCAATGGCGAAGGGCGATAGCAAAATCATGACAACCGTGGCCTATGTAAAATTTAGTTTTGTGATTGTGATTTGAGTCTTTACAGTGATGCACCTACCATTGTTCCCCAGATAAGGTACGGCTTGTGAAACTTCTTCCACGCATTACCGTCTATACATCATGTTGTCAATGAATGAAGCGAGACACCGTGATGATTATGCTTACTCTGAATAATC